ATGCTCCCCTGCATAAGAATACACGAAAGCATGTATAGTGGACGGAGGCACATACGTGTGTCTCCAGCCTTGAACTCAGACACGACCAAATGCCTCCGTCCAAAGCGTGCACGGAGGCACATTCGTGCATCTCCATCCATAAACCAACACACGACCAAACACCTCCGTGCAAAGCGTGCACGGAGGCATATTCCCGTGTCTCCATCGGTAAGCTGAGCCACGAACAAATACCTCCATCCATTCACATAGGTACATTTTTGCATCTCCACCCATAAACCTAAACATCAACATAATGATGCATCCGCGTACCACCACGGATGCTTCCTGTTTTCAAGATTTTTGTAGACCTCATGAATTTTGATTCTATTTTCCATTCTATTATCTATTCCAGAATCGTTGTTTAACATCCAAAAAAAAAAAGGTAAAAGCGACTGTATGAGTCTGTTAACCATTGGATTCATATTATAATTCTAGATAAAACAGCTCCTTACTCCACTTATAACTTAGATTATTCTACGGAATAAATCATTAGCTATCTCCTCCTTCACCAAACTGACGACTTTACTTTNATTCATATTATAATTCTAGATAAAACAGCTCCTTATTCCACTTATAACTTAGGTTATTCTACAGAATATATCATTAGCTTTCTCCTCCTTCACCAAACTGACGACTTTACTTTAACATTTACTATTATGTAAGAGCTATTTTTTCACACTTATTAAATAGTTTGCTTTTCTGATTTATGCAGATGTCTTTGGAATACATATTACCTACAGGACAGTGGTTTTCAGCTACAATCACTCAGTTCCCCAACTATAAATACATAAAAGATTTCGTAGATTCTATCAATTCTGACCAATATGCTTTGTGTGGCAATTTTCATGCATTCATAAATGGAGTAATTTATAGACAGGAAGAAAACCAACAGTTTAGCAGCAAATTGATTCACGAGTTCATAATGAGAGTCATACATTCTGGCAAAAACAATGAGCTTTGGATAAAATTAGATAACCATTTTGCACGTTTTGGTCTACAAGAATTTTGCCTTATCACAGGATTACCATGTCATGAAACATCTATTGAACTTGACTTTCATAATACTCGTCTTAAAAATCAAT